GGTTGTGCACCCCTAATTTAAACCAATTTTTAAATTCAGAAACCAATTTAAGGGATGATGATTTTAATTTAAAGGAAGTATTTAAACTCTATAAAACAGTTTTTTCAAAAAGAAATAAAATAAAACTATAATATATATGCTGCTGCACTTGCATCAGTGCGTAATAAATAGTTATAAGAATAGCATTTTGGGTTAGCTCAAGACCAGCAGTGAGCATGTTCAAAACACTAATGTTCCAAGAATTAACAGGAAAAGGTGCAAATAACTATATTTTAGCATTATCCTTTACCAGTAAAATAGCAGTCAAAAATACATTTACAGTTACACAAAATATTGCATCTTTAAATGTAATATATTTACTATATTGCAATTATAATAATTGCAATATATAGCTACATATTTCATATTATAACATATTGCTATTTGTTTCAATTTTTATAAGACTAACGATTCGTTTAATTTTTAAGCCGTTGAATCTAGGCATTTATTTTTATTCCAATTCAAGTATTTTTTAAATAAACAATCTTTAATTCAGAAAGCTAAGTTTCAAAGCTGAAGCAAAGCTTTTTTTTTATACAAACAGCCTGTCCTTAATTATTACTACGGAGATCTTTAAAAATTTGATTCAATGATTATAGTCTTTGCATCTTAAGAAGTCCTTCACATCAAAAAATAAAAGCAAGTTAAAACTTTAAAAAAATAGCAAATTCTTTTGAAGCAAATTTTTTAGGACTAAGTGGTAAGAAGAAAGAAATATTTTTTTACAGATTATTACTATACTATAAGCTCAAAAACGATAATCATATGTACAACATAAACTTGAAATGCACATTTTGACAATATTTAAAAATAGATTTTAACTATTGCAAAACTTATTTAAAAAATATATGTTTTAACCTCAAATTCATAAAATGTACATTAATAACTTATATGCCTTTTATTTTAAAAAAAGGTAAAGAAAATAAAAAAATACATTTTCAATTAATTATTTTACTCTATTTATCTTAAAAAAAACATGCAATAAAATACAAGAAATATATTTGAACATAAAAAGATGGCAATCTAAAGATTAAAATGTGTTAGATTTCACTCTTAAGTCAAAGTATTCTTATATTAAAACTTAGTTTGTATAAAACACAAATTTTTTTAATAATGATATTTAGACAATTCATTTAACAACTATTAAAAAAATAAAAAATACATTAACAAATGCAAAATTGTATTGTTATAATTGCTTGTGGCAATAATAATGTGTCATAAAATTATCTATAAATGCTCTTTACTCACTTTTTATCACATAAAATAAGTTGCTTTTTAACAAACAATAAATTTAAAAAATATTAATTCAACATCTATACCAGAAATTTCCAAGTTATATAAACAAATATTTAGCGAGAATTAGCCTGGACATTGAATCTTGAGCACTTAATAACTCTGTTTGGACTCTTTTATACACCCTTCTCTTTTTCATTCATTTAACTCTTGACATTTTAATTTCTCTGAAAAATTAATTCACACATGTAGCTCTGTTCCTTATTTTAGTGAGCGGCATAATGGTATTTGTTATCCACAAATTCTACCTGGCCTCGACATTAGATTTTAAGTTGGTGGTTAACATAGTAACAGATCGGTCTATCTTTAGGTTAAAATAGTGCTCTGATTTGGCTCGTGAGTTGAAGTAAAAACTAGTAGTTTAATCTTGGTCAGGGGTGATTGTGAGTCCAAGTCAAAATTCCGCAAAATTTCTTGAGTTAAAAAAAGAAAGAAAAAAAAAAGTTTAAATTGAAAAAAATTTAAACAACGTTTTTTTCCTTTTTCTCCACATTTCTTAGCTTACTTAAAATAAATTTAAAATTTTACACATACCAATACCATTTACACATACCTATAATGACCTGGAGAAGTAATTAAAATTTACAAATATGTCTTTCTTTTTTGAGTTTATGATTTTAACAACTATTTACTGATAAAAATTGAATATTAATCATGAATATAAGCTTATAAAGTATCTCACTGGCTCTCCCTTACAAACAAATAAAATAAACTGTGTTTTTAAGTTCCACCTTTGAAAATTTGATTTCCGAAAACTTCTGTGATCAATGATTTTTTTAAACGTCTGGACCTTCAATCTTCGGAAACTTCTGGATCACTGTTAGCAAAAATTCCGGAAATCCAGATTTTTTCCGGAGCACAATCAGCCCTGTTTGGTGCTTATACTCCTCTCCCAACTGCTCTATAAAATGAGCACTCCAGACAATCTCACAAAAAGTTCATTTTGTGATAGCCAGATAATACACATCAGTCAAAAGTTAGGAAGAAAGAAATTTTAAAATATTCAGCAAAAAAAAGCATGACTTCTTTATTTTTTTAAACAAATGCTCTTCAAAGCTCGATTTTATGAAACAGTAATAATGATTTATATATAAAAAAAATAATAATTTTACCTTGCTTTAATAGTATAATGATTCTGTTCAGGGTTGCCACTCAAATCTGGAGGAAAAAAAATCCCTGTGTTTTCCCTGTACATATTATTATACACAATATATTAAGAGGAAACACACAATTACTGTGCTCTTGTGTAACCTATATTAGTCTAGCTATACTATTTTTAATTGCTGGAAAAACTTAAAAAAATAAGGAACAGCTTAACATACCTAAAATAAATAATGCTATAGTAAATGAAATAGGTTAGCTGAAATATCATCCTTAAATACAGTATAGACTGCATTTTCAGTGGTCACCACTTTTAAGACAGAAATAAGAAATAAAATTCCCTGTATTTTCCCAGTTTGTAAGGAAAAACTCAAAATTCCCTACATTATCCCTGTTATTATAGGTGATTTTCAAATTATCTGTATTTCCCAGGTTATCACAATTCTCCCTGTGGAGTGGCAACCCTGCTGTTCTTACAAATTTGATTTTAAACAATAGTTGCATTTATAATCCAGTAATTTTATTGATTTATTATAAATTGGATTATAAATCTAAAATTTTTACCAACATAACTAATAAGTGCTAGTGTAATAATTTTTTTAACATATACATGGTCCGCTTACCAAAATCTTTATTACAAAGTGAAAAATCCTTATTAAGAAAAAGATCTAGCATGACCATTTTGCCAAATTATGTAATTATGTTTAGCTATATCATTTTTTTTTTATTTGTCCATCTTGTTTTTTGCTAACTTGATAAAAAAAAATACTGAGAAAACTGAGAGCTGACTTTTATTGTGACTCGTTATTATTAAGCATTGCTCATTAAAATCATATAATAAAATGTGATTTTGTTTTTCTCTTTTCAAAATGACTTATGTAATTATTCAGCAACAAAAAAAATAATATTTTAAGGCTCGTACTTAAAGTACGAGCCTTAAAATCAAAACTGAAAGAAGCCCACACTTTTGCCAGTAAGAAATTAAAAATGATAGGATTTTCAGATAATTATTCACACAAATGTGTTTTTAATAAATAAGTTATTTAAAATTTTAATGACCATTAAAAAAAATTTTAATATTTGGTCAACCCTGCCTGATATTACTATGGCCAAGTCATTTAATTTCAATAAAATTATGTAGTGCTTTACTATTTGAGCCAATGTATTTCCTCAAATGAATTAAAACTGAATCCTTTGAAAAACTAGATATAATTAGTAATAAATGAATGTATTTCAAAAAATTTAATTTTACATTTGATTTAAGAAAAATAATTTAACATGCCCAGAATTAAATATCGTAATTCTACCATAAAATTGCATATAAAGTGGTTTTTAATATTGTAATTTATTTTCAGGTCAAGAAAAAAGTTTGCAACTATCTAAGGAGCTACTTTTTCCCAATGTAGGCTTGGGTAAATACAGCCCCCAAAACATAAGTTTTATGCTATGGAACAAACAGTGGTAAAATACACTCAATATTATTTATCCCTTAAAACTAGCCTCATACTTACTTTAATTTTTTATTTTCTACGCAGCACAGGCTGCGCAGTTAAAAATTTTAAGAGTGTTTATAACAATACCACCAATTGATCCACTACAATAAAAGTCATTAACACATGTCCTACTGTTGATAATTTAGTGTAAGACTGTTAAAACCATTTAGTTTAAAATATTAATTGGATAAGGGAATGAAAACACTGTAGAATACAATAACTTCACATGTCTATTAGTAGAACAAAATTTTTAAAAGAAAATTTTAGATATATGCTAGACAAATTAGCCTGTTTAGTGTTACAATAAGATTATTAAAACATTAATCAAACTAATTTATCAATAAACACAAAAATAAAAAACACACAATTGACATATCAGCATTGAGAAAACTTTAAGCATTGCTAATATAAATATTTTTTTTTTTTTGTTATTGATGCTCCAGTTACAAAGAATAAAATCAAACTTTGCATTTAAACTAAAATTGTATTAATTTTTTTTATATATTTATTTCTCACATATTAAATATCATAAGTTTACATGGTAGCATTCCAGTAATCATTATTTAATAATATTTCAAGCAGCAACAAAAATCTAAAAAATGATTTTATTCAATTCCAACTTTTTTTTTTCGTTTTTAAAAAATTACCAAAATGTTAGAAATCACAAGACTTAATAATCTAAAATACAATTAACTATTATTCCCATCTAATCTAACAACTAGTGAATTAATATTTACAACACATTTTATTTTTATAATATAATATTCACATTTATAATGAAATATATAACCTTAATATTTTATGAACTTTATTAATGTACAATAGATTGCAAACGGTCGAAAATCTTTACATTACAACAACATAGAAGTTCTTAAAAGCATAAATCTCATTTAAACTGAAGTATCTGTTATTTCTAAAAGTCAAAAATGACAAATGTTAACAAAGTTTAAAATTAATAATTAAATAATTTAGGAAGGAAAAAACCAATAGTTAAAGTGAAGTTTGATTGAACATCCTTGACTCAAAATATCTATTACAACATAAATTACTTCAAATTAATAAAAATTCATTTACCAATAATGTACCACAATTGGTATCTGACCAGTTGTTTTCTCTATGCCAGATGGCAGAGGAACTGCTTAGACTTCACGCCCAAGAGTTAATCAAAGATGAATTGCAGCTTTAAATTACATTTTAGTCTTGAAATGAAATGTATCAACTACATTATAATATTCTTCTGCGTTTTGCCTATAACAATATAAAAAAAATAAAAAACATTATAAAAATAAAAGAAAATATATGCAAAATTTACAATACACAATGATTACAACTTTCCACATTTTTATCAAAATTTAAATAAATTTACAAAATAAATTTTACTTAATTCTTCAATTGCATTAAAAAATTAATCTACTCTTATTATTTAATAAACAACAGAAATATGTAGCTAAATCTACACATTTACAAAAACAATTTATTAAAAAGCATCATTTTATCACAAAATGTACAATAAATTTTAAAATTATCTTACAAGTTACTAATCTGGAATTAGCACTATAATCCTAATATATGTGCCACTTTAATATTATATGCAACAAGAAAATAAAAAAACTTGGTAATTACCAGATATCTATAACATATATATGCGATAAAACATCAATGATTATTAATTTTAAAATATACAAGTACCTAAAAAAGCCAACACATTTAAAAATGCATCCCACATATATATGATATAACACTAAAATAACAGATTTAAATCTAATCTAAATTGAAATCAAAATCTGAAATTTCTAGTAAATGAAATGCTTAATAACCCATTTCTATTATTTTTAAAAATTTAAAAAAATATTTTAATCAAATAACACAAATGAATGACAAGTTATCCAAAGGATAAACAAATCATTTGTGACTACGGATTTAGGTTTGCGTACCTACACCCGTCGAGTGAAATATTCTATAAACACAGGCATAATAGTATTAAGATAGTCATATTTGATAGGGCATATCAACTGAAGCTAATAAAAATCAAATTCTGATCTTTAGATACATAAATATGAAAAAACATTATACTACTAATCGTTAGGCGATAGTTAAACAAGACAGCTTGAAGTGACACAGAGAAAGTACGATTTACACATAGTAAATAGCTACAAACCTAGAACTCAAAACAAATAGAAGATCATTAACGTTAAATGAATTGATTAAAGCAAAAAATAAACAAATATCCTGAAGAAATTTTAAAATTTTAATAGCAATCTCATATTGACTATCATTGAACGCAATGGAAATTTCAGTAACTTTCAGCAGCCATTAAACGTTGCCACAAGTTTCATCAAATAACACTAGGTTAAATTCATGCTTAGATAGATGGCGCAAATCTCGATGTCAGATAAAACGATACGATTATAACCATATAAAAATTAACAAAGATGGCAGTACTAGCGTAAAAAATTCAGAATGCGTTCTTCATCTAAGTAGCACGACTTGGGGAATTTACTTTGGGATAAAATTTGCTACAACTAGGTGTTTGACCTTAAAAATAATAATGCGAGCTAAGCAGCCAATTTCGAGAAAAACACATTTGAAAATTTAAAAATACTTCATAAACTAGTTAAATCTTCGCTTCAATAACGAAACCAGAGCTAGACTTTGCCCGACAAGGGGTCAATTCTCCCACGACAGGCGAGCTCAAACAAATTAATTCAAAATATTTAAATTAAAACGAATTTTATACTTTGCACTTTTTTTCACATCATATTTTTCAAGTGTGTTTCTGAGAATCTAAAATCACTAATATTGATGTAAAAAGTTGGGGGAACATTTCAAACCGGGGCATTTCAGACAGACCCCGTGAAAAGGCTGTGACAGAATTTAGATTTGCGGTGGGTCATGACTGTCTTGCGCACCACCTCCACCGCATTGGCATTTTAACGAGCCCGAATGGCCCACTCTCTAGGAAATTCGAAGTAATGGGTAGAAAGTACTTGATGGAATGTTCGGCTGTACACGGAGACTCCGAAGTGAACAGATATTGGAGTGCTAGGCATCTGCTAATGTGTCATTGACTTTTTTCTCTTATATCTATGTTCATTCCTCTTGTTAAGAGTTTGAAAATCTCTGCTATTGGAAATTTTTTTTAAAAAAAATATGCAGATTCATTTTAATGTAAAATTATCACATTTTTTTCTGTTATCAATCCATTTTGTACTGTATGGTGCAATTTACCACACATTATGAGCTTAAAAATTACTTCTTTAATTAAGATTTGATTTATTGAAATTGATTTATTGAAATTACATACATTTGCTGACTTGTGTGCTCAATATATAGGCTTATAAGTCATTGTCAAATAGAAAATACAGATAGAACAATTCAGAGAAAGACATCACAAAGAATACATCCAGGGTTACGGCGCGATTCGAACCCGCTACCTCCACGCTTAACAGAGCGTTTGGACCGGCGATACCGCTTGGCCAGGGAGGCCCCTTTTAATTAAGAAAAATAGTTGTAGCAGTCACTATGTCAAAAAATTTCTACGCTTCTTACTCTCATAGCGCAAAAATTATTCGATAATAAAAATTTGAAATTTCATGCACATTTAACAAAACATTTTGAATTGAAAATGTTATTTTTATATGCATCGATTGGCTTTTGAATCATTTAAATGTTTTGCATTCACGTCTATCTAAAGATATTATGCTCCGTTTGAACGAACTTCGAAATGGTTATGCCCATTAAATTGTAAAATGTGAATTTTTTTTTTAATTGTTACAACGTATAATTTTACGGACAAAAAAGGGCTATTTTAATCAGGGGACTTGATGCTAATAAATATTGTAAATAAATAAACTGCTGTTTGTAGAAAATGCAACACCATGAAAGAATCATCAGAATCAAATGAAATTTAATGCAGAAACGACTTGTACTGATACAAATAAATGATGAAATTTTCAAAACAAAAGAAACAAATTAAGCGTCCGAAATCAGTATTTGGTGCAGCCACCACGCGCTGCAATAAGTGCTGCTATACGACGTGGCATGGAGTCAAACAGATGTTGAATATCTGCTTGAGGAAGAGAATTCCATATCGCTTGTATGCGCAACCAAAGTTCGTCTTTGGAAACTGCAGGACGCGGATCACGAGTGAGACGCCGACCAACCATATCCCACACGTGCTCAATAGGCGACATATCCGGCGAATAAGCAGGCCAAGGAAGAAGTTGCATGCGTTGTGCTGAACAGAAGTCTCTAACAGTCCGCGCAACATGTGGGCGTGCATTATCCTGCTGAAAGATAGCTCCAGGGATGCCTTGAAGGAAAGGAACGACTTCGGGCTGTAGCACTTCACGGACGTATCTGTTGCTATTGAGATTACCCTCAATTCGTATCAAATTGGATCGTCCATGATACGAAATCGCACCCCAGACCATAACTCCGGGTGTTCGACCACTATGTCGTTCAATAATACACTCAGGAAGGCAGCGTTGACCGGCATAACGTCTAACACGAACACGGCCATCATGGGTCCACAAATTGAAGCGTGATTCATCTGAAAAGACAACTTGGTGCCAATCAGCTCGCCAGTCTCTGTGCTCAAGAGCCCACTGCCGACGCAGCCGTCGATGATCCGCCGTGAGGGGAATCCTGTATAATGGCACCCTTGCACGCAATCCACGGCGCAGCAGACGACGACGAATTGACGAAGCCGACAATTGTACACCTGTAGCAGTAGACCAATGTGCTGCCAGCTGCCTGGAGGAAGCTGTGCGATCATTCACCGCCATGCGGAGCAGGTGTCGATCATCGCGCTCTGACGTCACCTTCTGTCGTCCAGTGCCTGTTTTTCGAGTTGTTCGGTGCTCGTCGGTCCACTGCTTCCAAACTCGCATCACTGTGGAACTGTTCCGCTGCATACGAGCTGCTATTGCGCGATAGGAAAATCCTCCTTCTCGAAGGCCGATTATCCTCCCTCGTTCAAACTCCGTAAGTTGCTTGAATTTCTTATTCTTCCGTCGTGGAGGCATACTCAGGTCTCACTAAACGTTTGCCACTAACAAATAATCATAGACTATTTTCAACGTCCCGCTACAGCACTTTATTTATACGCTTTCAGCATCAATTCAGAGGGCGCTGCGCGCGCCACGCACGCGCGATGGCTCTGAAACTTTATTAATTTGCATAATATCCTATATCCATTATTAAAATAATATTTCATTTGATTCTGATGATTCCTTCATGGTGTTGCATTTTCTACAAACAGCAGTTTACAAAGAGACTTTTAGAATTTCTCCTTCTGATTCATTTTTCTTTCCGAAGATGTTTTAAAAGTGAACATCTATGTTCGGCAAAATGCTAATTTCTCCTTTTGAGAAAAACAGTCCATCGGTTTAAGATATAAAATTCAAACAATAAAGCTAAAATTTGTCTTGATTTTTCAATTTACAAATTTTAAATTTGCGTCCGAGAAACGAATATTAACTTACTTACATTTTGAAAAAATATGCCACTTATGGCTGCTGTTTGTCTGCCTGTTTTTCGTTCCTCTGCAGAGCTGAAAGCAGACTTTCCACCAAAATTTCCGTTTCGCCCTTCAGAAGCTTTTTACATATTGGCCTACGCCTGCAGCGAATAATCTTTCAAACAGTTAATTAACCACATATCAACGTCTACCACATATCAACGTGAAACATTCTTTCCTCTACGATTTAAATTTGCTTTTACAGTTACGAGTTTTAAGTCACAAAAAATTTAGGAGTTAGGAGACCAAATTTCGAAAAATACGATTTTTGTTTACTTCTCAGGATTTATTTGACCAATTTTACTTAAATTTTGTATTTTAACATCTAAAATTGTAATCTAAAAGTTATATTTTGCATGATATTATCTTCAGAAAAATGAATTGGAATTGTTTGCAAAACTTTTTCAATACGCTTAAAAAAAAATTGCGATATAGTGAAATACGCAAAAACTAAAGTTAACACTAAAGGATCCAAACTTTCAAACGCTCTCCTGAAAAAACTATTAAAGCAATATTTTCAAATTGAAGCTACTATATTTTGGGGGTCAGAAATCCGAATCCGTCGAAAAATGGTGTGTTTAATGAGAGAAAGTAAGTTTTTATGTCCAATTTCCTGAATTAAAATATCGTTTGCACTAATTAATTAGTATATTTGACGTCACCCTCGCGAACCATTAAGAATGAGTCTTAGAGCATGAATATCCGAACTTTAGAGCAAAAGTTATTCCAGTGGGTACATTTATTTTTATGCGCACTGGACATTCATTTGAAGTATATGTCAATATTGCTGATAATAGCAAAATGTTTTTTCATTTTTATTTAGAAAGGTAATTTAGCTAATATAGTTATCAACATATGTATGCTTTGATAACTTTAAGGATTATGATTGGAAGAGGAAAATAAAGTGAAATGATATTCACTTTTAATATTAATATCAGATATAAATAAATAAAAACGTCTTCCATTTTTTCTTCTTTCGTTAATTTCAATTACAGAAAAATGCATTTTCCTCAAATGAATTGTTGCCGCTGTTGCGGAAAGCTAATTTTTTTAAAACTCATTATAAACAAAGAATTTTTGTATCTTAAATATTAATGTTTTGAAGGTATCGTAACATCGGATATCTCGCAATATGAATATCGATGTATCAAGCTTTCAATGTACTTTAATTTGCAAAAATACGAAAGGAAATTTTTGTTTAAAGAATAAATATTTGCCCCTGTGGAAAGTGTACTAAAATTATACTAAACTAGTTTTGCAAAAAATTTCCAAGGAAAAAAAGAAAAAGATATTAAAGTTTTAAAAGATATTAAATTTAATCCGTATTAATCGTAATTCTGATAATGAAATAGAAAGGGAAGGGGAATTAATCTTGCAATGTATGTACATTTACAAAACAAAATAAGTTAATTCTAAATGATTAAATGAGAATATTTTTCTTCTTCATTTCATACAAAATTCTTGCTAAATAAATAAATAGAATTTACATTTTACCAAAAATAAGTAAATAAATAATAACAAAAAAAAATTTATTAACATTAATTTATTGCAAGTCTTAAGGTATTTACTTTATTTTAGAACTGGTATTAATTCATGCAGATGATTTTTGCTTTTAACAGTAATACCCGTAGTTTTGCTATTTTGAACTGAACTTAGAGTGCAAGGGAACTACTTGGTAAATTTTTACGACAAATTCACTTTCATGGAGGACATCAGAATTGAAACAAGCTCACATTTGGTTTACATTTGTAAAAAGAAAAAGTGTGAAAATACTCTGTGGTTAGCTCGAATGCAAGATTATTTCACACATGATCCCTCTAC